AACACGAAATACGTCGTCAAAAGCGTTACCAAAGTAAATGAATAAAGAAAGAATCGAAGATTTACAAAATGCGTCGCCGAATATGGAACGAAGAGTGAAGGAGACGAAGTCTCCTCACGATGGCGAAGCCTGCTGATTGGCTAGACCGGTTTCGTCCCCTCAGCAGTAGCGGACTCATCAGTAGCCTATGAGGAATAGTAGCATAGAAGCTTCTTAAATAGGAGAAGAGCGAAGGAGAGGGGCAGGTGAGAGGGATAGGAGGGAGAGGCAGAAGGGGAAAAGAAGGGAAAGCGGAGAGATAGAGGGGGTGTGCGAAAACACTGAAAAAATGAGGCTCTTCGAGAAGGAGACTGGGCAGTAGCCCAGGAGATCGGAGTGGCGGCGCCCATATCTGCTCCATTTTAGTGTTGAAAAGACGCATTCCAAGGTATGCGTTGAAGATCGCGATGACGATGCTCAGAGGAGATCCCGCGTGAAGAAGACAACGAAAAATGCTTCGCTCTGTCGCTGCAGCCAGCTCGTCACTGGCGCTCTGTGGAGTGAGATCATGATCCCGATCTAAATACCTGGTGCGGTCAGGTACCCAGTCCCCGGTCCCGAAGGTGACTGAAACGTTTGGAGAGAAGGAAAAAGAGGACCCTGATCGATGTATCTAGCCTGAGATGAACCTATACAAGAAAATCTGTTGTGTTCAGGGAAATTCGACAGGTAGCGACTACCCAATGTATTATCTTTGTAATTATCAAGTACCTGGTTCGAGCCTCTGTAGGCGCAGTTACTGACCCAGGAGGACTGCAAAACCGCGAAGGGGCCTAGGACTGGAAGTCCCTGAGTGAAAAAATAGTAAAAAAATAGTGCCAAAAAAAGTATTAATAGAAGATAGGTATATATATATATATATATATATATATATATATAGAGAGAGAGAGAGAGAGAGAAAACTTTGCCCGGATCTAATGCCTCGGTTAGCAGGCGTGCTAGGGAAGAATGGTGTGGAGCGTCCATAGCCCAATACCAGAACCCAGATATCCCAGGCACCCGAAATGCGTTTGGAGAAGGAAGAGAGGGCCTGCAGGAAGATATTGTCTGGAAAACGTCTCAGGGAAAGCTCATGTTGCAGTGCAAGCAACACCAAGAATTCTCCCATCGGCTGTGTAGTGAGCTGTCTGATACGATGTAGGAAGGCTGTAATCACCGCCATCTTTTGTTCTCTGCTAGAAAAAGACTCGTAATCTTACCGAAGTTCAGAACGCCTTGGTTCTTAATAGTGTTTGTGGAAGTAATTAATCCCACTTTACTTAGGATGCATATGATGGTTTCTAGAAAGGGCCAGGATCCGTTTCCTTCGTCTCTTCTTTCTAAAAGGAGATCCACTCCATAGCAGCTTAGGAAGGTCTTGAGGATGTCGACCGCTTTATTGTAGTCATTTATTTTATTTCTCCTAATCAACAAAAAAAGCGACACATCATCCATCAAACGAATGTCGGCAACCAAACGTTTGTCAGAACCGAGATTGGTGAGAAACATATATTCATACCATGAACAAAGAATACAAGCAAGGGGAGGCCTCGTGGATTTTCCCATGGGGATGCCGATCGTTTGTTTAAGCATTTTACCTGTTACCTGGACATAACTGTTAAGAAGATCAAACTGAACGAAGAGAAACAGTTTTGAAGAAGGGATGCGAACCCAGTTTGTTTTACCGTTTATTTTCGCAAAATTCGCGTGTTTGCTGATTCGAGAGACCCGAACATCAGACAATACTTTCTCTTCGATGATTTGGAGGGCCCAGTCCAGGGCATCTAGTATGCGATCATGTGGGAGTTTGCAAAACATCTCTTTGATGTCAAAGCTAGCGCCAATAATTTCCTTATTATTGCCCTGATTTTTTCTATTGATGACATCCAGAGATGAAGGTAGGTCGGACGGGCTTTGCAAGTTGAAGTGGGTAGCAGGAGGGATTTTTGACAAAATAAGATTAAGCGCTTTTGCCATGAGTTTACAAATTTTAGAGGAGGGTTCAGAGAAAGAAGGGCAGATCGGTCTCCATTTCTCAATGTCCTTGTGCTTCGGGATACAGTACCCACATCCTATGGTTCCACCTTCTTTAGTGCAGAGATAGTATCAAATTTAAGGGATTTGTAGACCTCTTGGTATTTCGAGTAGAAGGTATCTAGTGAGGGGATAGTACAAGAACGGAAACCTGGGTTTTCGAGGAACAGTTTATCAAGCCCTTTCCTATAAACAGTTTGACAACATACAAGGGTGTCCCCAGGGTTGTGGTCGATGGGTGAAAGCACAAACCCATCAAGAATCCTACCAAACTCACGGACTTCTTGTTCCGAAATCCCAGAGGGCAGGGGTGAAGATTTGAGGCAACTTATGAAATCCTTCCGAGTGGGCATACTACATGCCATTGATGAGAAGGCGTCCCTGAAAGCTACTCTGAGATTTCTCAGTGAGTCAAATTTTGTAGGAATCGAAATATTTTTGGAATTCCTAAGCATATAGTGGATACCCTCTATGGTGGCGAGTCTAAAGCATACATGGGATTCAATTTTTGGAAAACCAGAGCAATCACAATTACAAGTGTTAGTAGATTGAGTAGCAAATTTCCTATGATTATTCAAGATTGTACCGATGGAGGGATTTTTAGTCCAAACCACGCGAACCCTTCTGGCTAATATTTCAGCAATCACAGGTTGCGAGTTCTTCCGAAGAGTACTTGTACAAAGTTCCCGTACCTTTGATTTACAGATGGGGGGAGAAAAAGGAATCTTAATAACAAGTTTCCTCCTGACATTGATTGCGAAGCGTTTAGAGATAATAGTTGATGCAATACCTTTCAGAGATTGCCTAGACGATTTATCATCAAAACAGGAAATGGCTTGGTAGAGCAGGCACAGATTCACAAGATCCAAGGAGTATAGTTCTTTTCGCGAGGGAGGATGAGTTAGGAGGGAGAGAAGCCTAGGTTTAAATTGGAGCAATTTAGAGGAATTTCGAGCTTTAGTACGAAAAACGATGGTTCCTCCAGATTCAAAAATACCTCGCGCGTTCTTTAATTCGAGACAGCAGTTCTTAACACACATGACAAAGCCCCCAAATCTTCTCTTGACGATCTTCAATGGGTCTATCCATAACTTACCGTCGGAGGAGGAAATGCTGATGGGAAAGTGGCGGTGGGGTAATAGATTTTCCAGAATAGAGCAGAGACTATAGGATTTTTCATTGGAAGCAGGGCAGGAAAATGAAATGGGTTCGAGTTCTGGGGGCACTATACCTTTGCGTCTACCTCGTTCCTTTTTACCTGGTCCGTGTCGACGGTTGAGTTTGAGATTATTAGATCGATCTCGACAACTCAGGGAAGGACAAAACATCTTCATGAGCCTTTTTTCGATTTGGCCCAAATTCGAAGAAGAGAAAACAATAGGAATAACAACGTAGTTTGTCCAGCCAACCCGTTTCAACCATCTGTACAACTTCAAATTAGAGGAACAGCATGAAGTTTTCTGCACATGTTCATTCCATCTACAGTTAGTATTACGATTAGTAAGGCCAATATAACATTGCTTGAAAAAAGGTGAAAAAAGCATACACAGGAAGAGGAGGAAGAAGGGAGAAAACCATCGTCAAGAAATTTCTTAATGAGCGGTGCGAATTTGTTGGCCCAGGGAAAATCCCCATTAAGAATCATAATGCAAATAATAGTTCTTAAAGCATTTTCAATCAGCGAAGAAAAATTCGACTCCAAAGTCCTACAAGCCCTGGCCTTAATCAAACCAACACACCAATCCCACCGCTCGTCATCAGAAAGGTTACGTGTTCAGCTATCATCAAAATGGCTTTCTTCCTCACTATCCTTCTTTGTTCCCTCGTCGAAGCGCTCCCTCGTACGGTATTCGGCCAGCTCCATTGCAGACTTCTCTTTAACGGAGTAGTCAATTCCCACTTCCTCACACTCCGTTTTCAGATCCCCCCAGGGGAGCTTCATGAGGGTTCTCTTCTGCTCCAACATAAACTCCAAACGACCGTTAGCGGGGGGACGCACAGAAGAGGTCGACAATCTGCGAGATCGGAGGCCCATAGGAGACGAGTAGCCTTTGTAGCATATCATCGATAGACATGCCTCTACCTCTAGGGATGGTACTCCGCCGGGGGGGACGAGAGATTAGGCGGATTAGGGGATCGGGGGTGCAGAGTGGTGGGAGGGGGTCTGGAGGAAGAGGGACTGGGGGTCGACAGGCGGCTTAGGATTTGTCTGAACCACCTTAGGTTCCGTTGGCGCGGGCATGTGTGCGGTGGAAAGACGCAGGATCACTTCTTTCATTTCCTTTATCTCCCTATCTCTCTCTTTCTCCCTTTCTTCTCTCGCCTGGATGTCTTTTCTCATCATCTCAATCTCTCTCCTCCATCGATCCTCGTTGATCGATGAGCCGGTGTCAATCTTCTGTTTCCCCTTTGCAGTCTCGTTAGGAGGGCTTGACATGATGACGACACCATTCGGCCTTTTCTTTTCGCCTGCGACTTTGGCGAGTTCCGCTGTAAGATCATTGATCTTACGAGTTAGCTCCTCGATTTTTGTCTGCATCTCGCCACTGGCATTAGAGGAAGATGGTGCGTTCTTCATGCTAGCAAGTTTCGCCTTGAGCATCTGGATCTCCTCCGGATCCTGTGCAATCTTAGCCGAAGTGTTACTACCCCAGACCTTTGCCATCTCTGCGGTATAGGATGCGAACGATTCCTGCAAAGCCTTGATGTAGTCGACATGCCTTTTCTCAGCGGCCTCTGCCTCTTCCCGCTTCAACTCAAGCTTCTCCTTCTTTCTAGCTTCCTCCTCCTTTTTCAATCGATCGGCTTTTTTTCTCTCCTAGTCAGCACGCTGCTTGTTAGCACGGTCTTCTTCCTCTCTAGCCTTGGTGCGTACTTCTTCCTCTTTGGCTTTTTGGATATCAATCCAAGAAACCAAGTCTGCCACAGTTGTGGCGATAGCCGAGACTTGGTTCGAGAGCCAGCCGCGGTTGGGGTTGGAGTTGGGGATAAGATTGTGGAGTGATCGTAGGAGGGGGTAGAGGAGCGTTAACCACTGGGTTAGTAGGAGGCGCAGGGAGGGCAAGTTGTGGAGGGCGGGGATGGCGTGGTGGCGCGGATGGGTTCGCCTGAGCGGGAGCAGGGAAGACTTGCTGCTGATCACCCTGTCTATAGGGGCACTGACGGGACGTGTCCATACTGGTAACACGTCCAGCATTGCACGTTGGAGTTCATGATTCTCCCTTGAAACGGATGCCTTCCGAGCATGGAGAAACCTGAAGACACAATAAAACACACAATAAAAATTAGTTCAACAACGAATAGGATTAGGGAGTGGGTGGGTGGGTGGGTGGGTAGCACACTCACCAGTAGTAGTGATCTACTCTACTATGGTTGGTGTGATCAAGAGAGCTCGATGTGAGCTTTAGTGAGTGCGATATCGTCATCGACGAAAATCACGGCCACGGGAATAGCCAAAACGACGAGAGAAATTATAGAGAAACAATGATCCGTAAGCACATCGAATGAGGTCGCACAGATGATAGCGAAAAGCCAGATTGAATGACGAAGTGGTGAGAACATAACACATTATATCACAAGATCRAGCCTCAAACACGACAATCAAAGAAGTGTGAGCGCARCATAGATACCATCGTTCACCAGGTAAATGAATAACGAAGAATYGAAGAAACACGAAATACATTCGCCAAAAGCGTTACCAAAGTAGATGCACAAAGAAAGAAACAATCAAAGATTCACAAAATGCGTCGCCGAAAGAATAGAGAAGAATCAACGAAACACGAAATACGTCGTCAAAAGCGTTACCAAAGTAAATGAATAAAGAAAGAATCGAAGATTTACAAAATGCGTCGCCGAATATGGAACGAAGAGCGAAGGAGACGAAGTCTCTGCACGATGGCGAAGCCTGCTGATTGGCTAGACCGGTTTCGTCCGCTCAGCAGTAGCGGACTCATCAGTAGCCTTGGAGGAATAGTAGCATAGAAGCTTCTTAAATAGGAGAAGAGCGAAGGAGAGGGGCAGGTGAGAGGGATAGGAGGGAGAGACAAAAGGGGAAAAGAAGGGAAAGCGGAGAGATAGAGGGGGTGTGCGAAAACACTGAAAAAATGGGGCTCTTCGAGAAGAAGACTGGGCAGTAGCCCAGGAGATCGGAGTGGCGGCGCCCGTATCTGCTCCATTTTAGTGTTGAAAAGACGCATTCCAAGGTATGCATTGAAGATCGCGATGGCGATGCTCAGAGGAGATCCCGCGTGAAGAAGACGACGAAAAATGCTTTGCTCTGTCGCTGCAGCCAGCTCGTCACTGGCACTGTGTGGAGTGAGATCACGATCCCGATCTAAATACCTGGTGCGGTCAGGTACCCAGTCCCCGGTCCCAAAGGTGACTGAAACGTTTGGAGAGAAGGAAAAAGAGGACCCTGATCGATGTATCTAGCCTGAGATGAATCTATAAAAGAAAATCTGTTATGTTCAAGGAAATTCGGCAGGTAGCGACTACCCAATGTATTACCTTTGTAATTATCAAGTACCTGGTTCGAGCCTCTGTAGGCGCAGTTACTGACCCAAGAGGACTGCAAAACCGCGAAGGGGCCTAGGACCGGAAGTCCCTGAGTGAAAAAATAGTAAAAAAATAGTGCCACAAAAAATATTAATAGAAGATAGGTAGATAGAGAGAGAGCGAGCGAGAGAGAGAGAGAGAGAGTTCTTCTTCTTCCTCTTCTAAGTCCACCATCTCTCCCTCACCCTCTCGCTACCCCACTTCTCAGTATCTGCAGACTACGAGAGAGAGAGAGAGAGAGAGAGAGAGAGAGAGAGAGATTGGTGACTTTGGGACTTGACGACATTTGGATCCAGACTCAACATTGGGATTGAGACATTGAACAAGGGATTATTTGGGACCCGTACCGAAGACTTGGTGTCGACGACATTCCCATCTTCCCGTCTTCTTCGTCTAACCCCCCTCTTCTTCGTCTGTGTATGGTTGGGGACTGGCGCACTCTTCCTGTGTGAGCGCCAACCCCTTTCACACCATGGAATGATGATCATGGATGTTTGGTTTGCATTGCGACATTGGTTGGTCTGATCATTGGTATTTAAGCCTGCCGCTGCGCTATCTTGTACTATGTGAGAAAGGTCAGTTCTTGTTCTGGTCTGCACCTTTACGGTATGCGACATGAAGGCACTCGGTAGGACTGAGGCCGACCCAGCACTACATAAGCTGGGTACAAGCCTCAGTCAGGTAGGTTAGTAGACAGGAGGTTAGTCTTTACGGTATGCGTCACACCATAGACTGAGGCCGACCCAGCACTACATAAGCTGGGTACAAGCCCCATGTTATCTCTCAACCGCCCAACTTCGGCCCCAACGTGGGTGACCATGTCGCGCGCAAACTCTCAAAACCCTGACCGAATGGCATTCAGGGCCACATCGTGACCCCAGTTGGCTTGGCGTTCCTCCAGCCAGGCCTCACTCAATACCTCCAGATACCCCAACATCTTGTCCATTTTGGCAGAGACATCTGCCTGTGCCTGCACTTCTTGCCTACAGGCTCTCACCTTCTCCGCCTCTGCGGTCAACCAATTAACTTCCTCCCTCCTCCTCTTCTTCTCCCTCTTCATTCTCAACTTCCACTCGAACTTTTTCTCCTCCTCTGTCTCCTGTCGCTCCAAGGGATCCTCAATCGTTGCTAGTGCCCTGGCAAACGCCTCCTTCTCCTCCTGTGGCACATACAACTGTGCCTCCTCATCTTCCCCCAACGATAAATTAGCTATCCACTCGCTGATCTTCTTCTCCATCTCTGCATCCTCATTCTTCGTGCCACTACTCTCCCCTTTTGCTTCCCTGTGTCTTCTCTCTTCTGCTTCCTCTGCTGCTGCTTCCTCCTCGACAACCTTTTTCTTCTCCTCCATCTCCTCCTCCAATTTCTTCATTTTCGCCGCCTGCTCCTCTGCGATTGCTTTCAATTTCGTCCGCTTCAGGAGCTCTTTCCTCTTCTCTTTCACTAAAGCGGCCATCTGCGCTTGTTGAGCATAGGTATAGGGGCTAGTGCTCTTCCCACTACGGATGTCAACCATGGTGATTAGTGCACAATCGGGTCAACGGTTCCAAACCTCACCACTTAGACTCTAACCCCTGACTGACAGACTGACTTGATCTAAAGACTCACAGAACCCGGACAGGGATCCTGTCAACTAGGGTCTCTAGCCTAGACCTGCTCTAGGGCTGTCACTACTAAACCTGTTGCTGATCAGGAGGCATTTAAGGAGATCCCCCGTAACTCCTCAGGAATTATTTAACGTCGCAAACAGGACGCCGCGATCAACAGGCCTCTCAACACTTAGACTGCCTGTTGTGCAGCCCACAGCTCAGCTTTTCGGGCCTACCGTGCCACACTGAGCAGCCCGCCGGTCTGTACCGGTCCTTGGGAGGGTTCGTGTCCTCCGCGAGACAGTCGAGTCGCCAGACACAGTCTTTAGCTCTACTTAGTCCGCCAGGGGTTTGGTCAACAAGGCCCTATCCTTCATCCACAGAGTTCCTACACCTGGACAGAAGAAACTCAATCCAAAAAGAAGAGACAGACAAACTTGACTCAGCAAGTACCACAGGGTGTGTGCACATCCATAGGGCGAGGAGTAGGCTTAAAGCTTGGCGAGATTATACCGGCTCCAGCTTGGCCAAAATCGTGGTCAACACCTTGGTCAACGCCTTGGTCAACGCTCGGTCAACGCTCGGTCAACGCTGCAGTCAACCCCCGGTCACTCTGGTCAACATCGGTCAACACCTCCGGTCAACTCTCGATCAACTCCCGGTCAACACCGATCAACGCCTGGTCAACTCTCTCGGTCAACTCCTCTGGTCGGCTATGGCTGCCGGGTTCACTTTCCTCACCACCCTTCTCCTTCCTTCCTCCTTCCTCGCCACCTTTCTCTTCACCCCAGCTGTCTGCTTTCGTCTTTTTTTTTTTTTTTTGGATCGTCTCTCTCTCTTCACCTCCTCGGCTATGGCTTCTCTCTCCCTTCTCAGTCTCCTCCTCCGCCTTCTCTTTCAACCTCCTTCATTCTCTGTGGTCGAGCTCCGCGGATATGGCCGCCTCTCACTTCACGGGACCGCACGACACGCTTCACAGGTAAGTGACAACCAAACTTGTATCNAAATCAACTTAAAGTTGAAGTCTTTCCGATGCAGGCCTAAGTAAAATGGCCGTAGGGCCTCCAGGTTGCGGTGACGCGACCTGGGGGCCCTTATCCAACCTCGGGTCCCGTGAGGGGCCCGTGTGGAGGCTCTCAGCATGTAACACTCTCTCTCTCTCTCTCTCTCTCTCTCTCTCTCTCTCTCTCTCTCTCTCTCTCTCTCTCTCTCTCTCTCTCTCTCTCTCTCTCTCTCTCTCTCTCTTCTTCGTCGTGGTCTTCTCTGCAGGTGCGCGCGGTGGCTTCTTCTCCAACCTCCAGGTCCGCTATGGTGGACTTCTTCCCTTGGCAGCCACCTCAGCTATGGCGCATCACTCCCTGCGACACACAACGCGGCGCGTGGAATAGCGGGTACCGGCTCTGATACCAATGCAATCAGAATCGCTTTCATTCACACTCTCATGCATGCAAACAGGTGCGCAGCAAACTGGCGACAAGCGCCCACTCAGAACTCAGAGATATGGTAACCGAGAACCCAGTTCAGATTCAAGTTCACTTCGTTGGCTATGGCGACTCAGCGCCTCTCAACTCTCTGTTCGCATACACAGGATCACCCTGGATATCCCACACGCGACTTTCTGAACACTCACGCACACACACACTGAGCCTCAACTACAGCTATGGCAGCTATGGCCGCCACTACCCTATTGCTATGGCTAAGCTTTGTCTCTATGACCACTTCGTCTTCGGGCTCACTGCAGACCTCCTTGCACAAGTCGCTTGTGGCAGCGCTTCCTCATGGCTCGCGCAGGAATGAATGAATGGCTGGGCACTGCCTCTTGATTTATACTTCTGCAGTGCGTTGGTCTGGTCCCTTTCCCAGGCCCGAAGTGCACACAGTCCCATGCGGTACTTGCTTGACTGGACAGGGACTGACTGGGGACTGGGACTGTTGACTCAGCATGGTAGACTTCTACCACTTGCCCACTTGCCTCAGCCTAAACGTGGGCAACTTCGAAAGGTCACTACTGGGACCTTCCGGAAGGCCGTAGACTTGGCCTTTCGTGACTGTAGCGGCTAAGACTTGACCTTTCCGAACTGTTGCAGCTACGACCTTGACCCTTCAAGACAACTACAGCTACGACTGCTAGACCTGGCTGGAACTCCTACTCGGCAGGTCTACAGATCGAATCCCTGCTACCTATGGACCCTATGACAACCTACCAACTGTTACAATTACACAGGTCACGGATTCAACTCTGAGGGTCAACACAGATACTGTATCACAGGTAAAGTGCGAACTAGGGATCGAGCCCTGGGATCTGCATCTGCTACTGCGAACTGGTGAATACCGTTTCAAGGACCTGTTTTGTTGGAAAAAAAAAGAAAAAAAAGGACTAATCACCTTGTGCAAAGTGTTGATGGTAGCTAAGAACCAAATATAATCTCCCTAGCATAAAACGCAGCAACCATCTTCCCGAACCGTTGATAGTCCGGGGTTCTCAAACACGAAACCCCAACAACCTTTACCACCACTGCCACGTGCTGACTAGACAGACCTCCATGGCTTGGTGCACAGCATCACCCATGAATTTCCAGCCCTTCCAGCACACAGCAGACATATCGCATATTCTGTGCAGACATGACAAACACATCAAAACTTATAATTACCTTCAATGCTGGTGCCCCCCTCTCCTGCAGACATGCCATCATCAGCCACACCGTTTTCCGTCTCTCCATGTGCAGACTCCAAGCGACTAAGAAGCGCCTGATAGCCCTGTTGTGCAAACATACACAGTGTCACACACACAGACACACAGAGTTCCACAAAGGGTGTAAAGGGTGTCAAATTGCCAAAATTCTCTCTCTCTCTCTCTCTCTCTCTCTCTCTC